GAAGGATCGCCGGAGCCCAGCAGGTTGAGGCTGCGGTGGCTGGGAGTGGCCACTGCACTCCAGTCTGGGCGACAGAGTGAGACTCCAACTTAAAAAAATTTTTTTAATTTATCTGGGCAAGAAGGCACATGCCTGTAGTCCCAGCTACTCAAGAGGCTTGAACCCAGGAGGTCAGGGCTGCAGTGAGCCATGATGGGGCCGTTGCACTCCAGTCTGGGTGACAAGAATGAGATGTTGATTAAAAACAAACAAACAAAATAGGCCAGGCATGGTGGCTCACACCTATAATCCTAACACTTTGTGGTGCTGAGGTGGGAGGATTGCTTGAGCCCAGGAATCTGAGACTATCCTGGGCAACACAGTGAGACCTCATCTCTACAAAAATTTAAAAATTAGCCAGGCATAGTGGCCTGTGCATGTAGTCCCATCTACTCAGGAGGCCGAGGTGGAAGGATCACCTGAACCCAGGAGGTTGAGACTGCAGTGAGCCTTGATTGTGCCACTGCACTCCAGCCTGGGCAACAGAATGAGACTCCAATTCAAATAAACAAAACAAAATAAAACCTGCTCCTGGTACAACTACTAAACAGTTCAGTAGGATTTGGCAAAATAAAGATAAAAGTGCCCCTTCCCCCACCTATCTCCTTTGTTCCATTTCTCAATGTTCATAGTATTTTGTGGATCCTTCCAGATTTATTTTAGGCTTTAGGTCTCTATAAACACACACACACACACAAACAGAATTGTAAAAACATGCTCTTCTACTACTTTCTCTTTTTTACTTATCAGCAGCCCTGTCAGCATAGATAGGCCTATCCTTTTAGGGCTGCAGAGTATTTCCTTGTAACAGGACCATGCTCATACTACCAGGCTCCACACTGACTCACAGGTGTCTGGAGGATCACACTGCCTCCCTCTCTTTGCCTCTGTCCATCACACAGGTTGTCCCTCTTCCCTTACGTGATTGCTGCAAAATCAGTAGGCAGACGGAGCTCTGAACTTCCAGCTCCGGACCCACACCGAGCCCGGGCCATAATAGCAGTTCTGGGCTCCCCTAAGGCTGAGGCCTCTGCCCCCCCGCCCTTTGTCCTGCCTCCTATCTCTGGTCCTTCAGAACCTTGGTGTGGTCACAGGCTCTCCAGCAGCATCGCTGGGATAGGGGCCAGGTAGGCAGCCCGAGCTCGAGGGCAGGAACACAAGGAGATAAAGGTGTGGAGTCTGACCTCAGTGTCTAGAGAATAGGAAGAGTCATCCAGGAGCTAATATCCAGGAGCCTGGGTGACTGTATTCCAGCCATGTCTCTACTGTGAGCTCCCCAGGGGACTAAGAGCTAGTTTCCCTCCCTGAGCCTTGCTTTTCTCATCTGCAAAATGGGGTCATCATTCTACCTCACAAAATTGTTAAGATAAAGTGACTTAAAAATGGCCAAGTGCTCACAAATCAAATTATTATCCTTATTGGGGGGCTGGACATGGTGGAGGAAAGGGGTGGTGACTTACATGACCTAAATCCTTGTCAGGAAACACCTACATGATTCAGCGGAAGGACTGGGATTTGTCTGAATATAGTTACAGGGACCCAGAGGACCAAGGAAATCTCTATATTGGTGAGTCCAGTGGTGGCCCCTTGGGTGGTAGAGGGGAAGGGGTTCAGTCCCTGGTACACTGGCCCACTTACCTCCAGTGCCTGGTGGAAGAGTGAAATCAGGGTGCAGGTGTGACTAGTGGCATTTAGTTCAACTAGCACACACTTATCGAGCACCACCTGTATGCCAGGCCTTGTTCCAGGTTCCAAAGATGCAAAGTCCCTACCCTCCGGGGAGCTCACGGTCCAGGACTGTGGCTGGAATGGCGCGTAGCCACTGAGCATCCTGGGCCCATTACTTGTCCAACTTGTAATCATGGGTTAGAAGACAATGGGGGCAGGGGAGGAACTGGAGGGATGGGTCCAGAGTAGAAGGAGACAAAGTTTACTGAAGCCTTGATTGAATATCTTTCCCTCATCCCAGGGTACACGGTGCAGGTAGGCAGCGCCATCCTGCACCCCACGGACATCACCATTGTGACGGGTGCCCCGCGGCACCGACACGTGGGTGCCGTCTTCCTGCTGAGCCAGGAGATAGGCGGAGAATTGCAGAGGCGGCAGGTGCTGGAGGGCACGCAGGTGGGCGCCTACTTTGGCAGCGCCATTGCCCTGGCAGACCTGAATAATGATGGGTGAGGATCTAGGGACCTCCTCGGGGCCAGGGTGAGAGGAAGGGAGGGCAGGCTTGCCCAAGCCAGGTCAAAACACTGGAGGTTTTGCAATTAGGCATTCATCTGCATGGTGTTTGCAGGGATTTGGGAGTCTGTGTATTTGCATGTCATTTGCATGACACCTGCACGTGCTAGTCTGTGCTTGTCATGTGCATGGCTCCAGTGGATGTGGCTGTTTGGGTGTGATCTGAGCCTGCATGACACATCTTCATGACACATCTTCTATTTGGTGGGTCACATTGGCATTTCCGTGTCCTTCCCATGTCCTGTGGTCAGAGGGGCCGTTGGAATAGCCAAGGGCTCTGGCACAGTCACGCCTGTTACACAAGAGCGATGCTGCCTATTGGAACCAACTTTACACTCTCATTTGCCCTCCTTGTCTCCTGTGCAGGTGGCAGGACCTGCTGGTGGGTGCCCCCCACTACTTTGAGCGGAAGGAGGAGGTAGGGGGTGCCCTCTATGTCTTCATGAACCAGGCGGGAACCTCCTTCCCTGCCCACCCCTCCCTCCTCCTTCACGGCCCCAGTCGCTCTGCCTTCGGCTTCTCCGTGGCCAGCATTGGTGACATCAACCAGGATGGATTCCAGGGTATGAGCCAGTACCCCTCCCCCAGCACCCCTACTGACTGAGTGCCAGCTGCATACCAGGCCTGACAGGGCCCACAGAGGAGACAGGATGGGGCCGGAACTGGGGAGCTCACACCAGTGCTGCAGAGAGGACTTGCAGACCTGGAGAGGGAGCAATAGAGGCAAGCTTGGTGGGCCTCCTGGAGGAGCTGGCATGCTGCTGAGAGCCAGGCCTGAGAGCCCACCATAGAGAGGAACGGTAGGGACACAATACGGGCGTGGGAACCGGCCTGACACGCCAAATTTAGCAAGTGTGGCATGTCACATCAGAGATGAGGCTGGAGAGGTGGGGTCGGGATGGGGGCGGACGCTTTGAAAGCCAGGCAGAGGAATTAAGGCTTTCTATTTGGATGAGACTGGAGAGGTGGGTTGGTGGGCGTCCAGAGGACGTTTTGGAACAGGGATGTGATAAAACTTGGTACCTTGAAAGATGATTCTGGAGGGGGGTGTGGGATGGATGCAGGGAGCAAAGTTTGAGGAATTAAGATTAAGAATACAGCATCCAGCCGGGCTCGGTGGCTCAGCCTGTAATCCCACGCTTTGGGAGGCCGAGGTGAGTGGGTTGCCTGAGCCCGCGGGTTCGAGACCCGCCTGGGCAACTTGGCGAGACCTCATCTCTAC